TTTTCTGACATGTTATTCTTTTTATCTGTAGGAATTATTTTTAGAAAAAAAAATGTTTGTATATCACTGACTAAATATCAAGATCAATGAATGAAAACTGCCAATTAAAAAATTTACATAAATAGGAAAAAAATTCTTATACAAATATATATATATATACATACATACATGTAAACTTTTTAACTATTGCAAAAATGCAGGAAAAACAGTTGAAAAATAATTTGCTCTTTACTCATAATTCAACTTGCCAATTGAAAAGATAATTGATATATTTTTATTGAATTATTTTTTTTCATTTTCGTCATTGATTTTAATATTATTCTGCAATGGCTAAATATATAAACGCATAAATTTTTGATTATATCTTAAAATTTACATTTTTCAAATGTTTTTATTGATCATTAAAAGTAGTCTGATATTAAATAATTTTTTCTTGTTTTGCAGAAATATTTGAACAGATTGCATGAACTGAGCCGAATATACGCCTTAATTGCTTTAAGATTCGAACTGCATCCAAAGTTTTGGTAAATTCACAATATTTTTCATTTTGCTATACATTATAGAATTGTATTTTCTCGTCTTAAATATACGTCGTTTCTCATGTAAAAACATGATGTTCATATATTACGGCGTTTAAATGCTCTTTACGCTTTTACAATAGATTGAGAGAAAATTTTGTTGTACAATTTAAAAAAAATGCTACTAAACATAGAATCGCTAATATGCCGATACAATTCGAAACGATTCATCAAATTGATAACACTTTAATATGTACTAAAATTACTGTGTTATTATTGACGAGCTTAATATTTATTAAAGATATTTATCTGAGAGCATGTAAATAGATTTACATATAAAACTAATACGAATATCAAATAAATAAATGCCTTATCACTTGAAATTTTAATGTATTTTTATCGATCAATTGTTGTTAATCATCCACACTTATTAACTTGATTGTTCTTGATTGTTCTATATCCGAACATTTTTGTACGATTTGTGTATAAGCTAGATACTGCCATTAGAGAATAACACGATAAAACGCGAATTGATGAGATTAACTTGAAAACAATCGTGCGATTAACATTTTTCTAAAATACATTTAAATAGTTTTTAAATGAATTTTTATTTAATAAGAGCAAACATGTCTCTGTTATACTTATCCGAACACTCGCTGTCGTGTAAGACTAAAATGTGCGCTCTTTGGAATTTTAAATGTGCCATACTGTCCTAGAAAAAAAACATTCGAGAAAGAAAAAGAAAGTAGAAAGAGAGAACAGATAAGAGAGAAGAACAGCGAAAGAACTTCTTACATATTTATAAATTTCTGAATTGTTATTATATATTTCTGAACATACACGATATTGAAAAATGTGCACAATGGTAACGTAATCGCATATATGTTCTGTACCTAAGTTAGGCGCAATCTAATCGAAAAGATTGTTTTGTTTTCGAAATAAATGAATAGATATTAGTTGCTGATATTTTGTGTGCGTGCGTGCGTGCGTGCGTGCGTGCGTGCGTGCGTGTGTGTGTGTGTGTGTGTGCGTGTGTGGGAGTTACCTTATGCGCAGTTGCGTGTGACCAATTTTTAAGTAGAGCAAAAATTTGTATGTTAGTATAGCTTTGTCGTATCATTTGCAATATATCGCGCAAATATCATAAATGTTCACAAAACAAGAACTTTGTTAAGCCACAACAAGTGAAAGAGCGAATTATATTTGCATTCGATTATTAAAATCCTATGTAATTTTTGTAACATGTAATTATGTCCTAAGTGCGTTATTGTATTGAATGAGAAAAAAATTTGTATTAACTTTGTATAACGTATCATTAAAACGTATGTGAGATACTCTCTAATAAAGTATTTATATTATTAACAAATTGATATAAGTAAGGGCTAGAGTAAGAGTTTTAGTGCGGTTAATGGTGCGTAATTAATCTAATAGGGTAAAGCGGAGCTATTCCATCAGTTTTAACTTTAAAATAATACAAAAATTTATGATAACAAACAATATTTCTTTACAGTTACGTGAGCGCTTATAATTACATTATACAATCATAATTGCTTCTTGAGAGCACAAGCACAATTCTTTTAAATAATCAACATGTGTTCAGAAACATAAATATTATTACGATAAATATAAAAAAGTCAGCTGCACTATCTATATCCTATAACTTTTAAATATCGAGTTTATTTCGACATTTTGACTTCTCTTCGAGATTTTTAGTATACATATATAATATTGAAGTAAATGATCGCTCATTAATTGGCAGAGCCGGTAGAGTGCATATTCCATCGTTCTAAATCCGTTGACAAATAGTTACAAAGTCAAATGGCAACAGACATTAATTGGCAGAGATTGGAAACAATAATTTGTTCTGTCTTTGAATAATTAAATTAATTATAAGAAATCTGTCTTTTTTTTGTTATTATAAAATTCGAAAAAATCCATTTGTTATAAAATTCGAAAAAACTCATTTGGCCAATGACATTCATATTACATAATTGAAAGGGTGTATAATCAATTCCTCAAATCACTAATTGGTTAATTTAAAATAATATAATCTCATTGGTAAAGCAGTGAAAAATTACTAGGAACAGACTAATGTGAGTGGTGTGTGCAATTAAATTGTGTGCAAGTGCGCCGTTCCCAATTGAAATATAACATTATCTACGTTCAGAGAAGAATTTTACAATAATTGCAAAGCTGTTTTCTCTGCTGAACGCAATCATATTCCTAGTGAATAAATCTCTAAGGATCCGTTTCGATATTCTCTGCCAGTGCTGAAACTGTACAGTGAGTGCTTTCCATTTGATGACAAAATCCGACACAAATATCGTTCTATCTTTGTCGCTCTCTGAATGTCAACAAGGATAAAACGACACTTGCGTCATCAAATAAAAAGCATCTAATATACGTTACGTGTGCTATAGATTTTCAGCACTGACAGTGGCCTAGTTTTCACCGAAGGTTTAAATCGGATTAGAATGTAAAAACCAACCAACTATAGTCGCGTATTCCCCTGTTACAGTCGAACGACAGTGAAAACCCTCAGTGGAAACGAAGCTAATGAATATTGGAACGTACTCAAAGTTACCTCGTTATGTAACTGGAAGGATCTTTATTAACAATTCTCAGTGAGAAATAACAACGAAATCAACATCAAATCGACGTTGATTTCATTATCACTTCTCATTGGGTCTCATATGTGTTATGATCTCCAATATATTGTAATAACGATAATATTTGTTTATAATTAGATCTATCCATTACTATTGTAACGTTTCCTTTATTCGCTCTAGTTAAAATTATTTCCGAATTATTTTTTAAGAATGGTTTCGTAGATTCCATTCGAAAAATTTTTTTATGAAGTAGTTAAGGTCTACGCACAATAGAACAAACATTAGGGCTACGTTTCAAAATTTCCTCTCCGAGAAAGATTTTATTCTATATGCTAGTATACATAATGTGTACTATATATTGAGTCTAAAGTGTACTAAAGGATACTAGATGTGTGTTGATGGTCATATATCTAGTGACAAAGTACCGCGGATACTTTTTAGATGACTCAATATTTCGAATAAATTTTCTTCAGAAAAGAAGGAGAGTTTTGAAACATAGTTTAGAAACAGAAATAAATATTAAAATTTCAACCTATCAGATACACTAGAATACACGGTTTCGGATAGGTTAAAATCTCAATATGTATTCCTATTCCTATAATATTGGGTCATCTAAAAAGTATCCGCGGTACTTTGTCACTAGATATATGACCATCAACACACATCTAGTGACAAAAAAAGTGGACATTGCATAGTTTACATCCACCTTATCAGAGGACAGTAGTGCACGGCAGCATTTTGTGGTTACAGGTTTTGGGCCGTTATGTCCTCTCTCAGATTTCTAGTTTAACACAACAAAAACTTATATGCGTATAATCTTTATAACTATTCGCTGCAAAGTTTACACATTGTTTCATGCAACAGTTTCATAAAGGGAGTTCCATAAAGGAGTATGCACTCTATCGGTTATGTCAATGAGCGATCTTTTACTCCACTATTATGGGTATATTTCCCTTTTACTGGCAGTGCAACTATCATGACGTCACAACAGTGCACTGCCGCAGCCGTTTCAAAATTGTGATACTGCCAGTATTACTGTAACGTCGTATTTCGGAACGGCTTTGCAGTAGACTGGCAGTAGTGTAAACAGACATGGATAAACGTACTAAATTGTCAATAAATTTAGAATAAAAACAGCAGCGATTCTTCCAAAGAAGATGAACTAATTATGGGATCACCAATTCAAGCAGTTTGACCTCATGTTAAAAACTATATGGACATAGTTAATGAATACATATTCAGATGTGGAATTTAAAAGTCATTTTCGATAAAATGAATATACATGTATGTGCATCTTTTCCGCAGTTAAATATAATGCATATATATTTTTATTTTCTGGATTGAATATTTCGACGCGTTGTGCTTCTTTAAGCGACGCCATATTGCACTGTAACTGCCTCACCTCGAAAGCCGCAGTAGTCATAGTGACAATATGGCTATCATTTATGACGTCATTGAGGAAACTAGATGCTGTCGTAGCGCGCTGTGTAGTAATAGCGGAACAATTTTTCAGTACTGGCAGTGTATATCGGAACACACCCTATGTATACTGAATAAGATAGCCGAAGAGGAATCGAAATGTCTAAATAAACTCGGTATTCAGAAGTCAAATATTAATTGCGCACCATTAACCACGTTAAAACTTTCACTAGTCCTTACTTATATCAAATTGTTGACAATTTCGAAAGTTTTTATACTTAGTTATTCATATTTAATAAATTCGCGGTTGTATCGCCATTTCTTTTGTCGTATTACCGAACGTAAAGCATTTTCATTATTCGTCTTCTCCGATGAAAAAAAATTTCATATCTTATATTTTTAAGAAATTTTTATATTTTAAATTTCTGAAAATGAAAATACTTTAAACTTTAGACTTATAAGTTTTCTTTAAAAATTATAAAATGACAAATTTTAAAAATTTTAGAATATCAGAATTCATGCATATACAATATATAAAGAACTTTAGAAGATTTTCTCAAAAATTTCTCTTTCACTTCTGATGTTGCAATTTGCAAAGATCTGAGAAATTTTTCTAAAAAGTTCCAGAAATATTTCATAAAATTATCCAGAAATTCCGATAATTATTTAGAAATTCTAGAAGATTGTATGAAATATTTTTAGAAAAAATTTCATCAGGGATTCTCGATTAGATTATAAAATCTTACCTTGCTGAATTGCCCCAATACATATTTCAGAATGATAGGAGGCACATCATTCAATAGGGATTCAAGAGCTTCAATATACGTACATTTTTGTAGAATTTGCTTTAGTGCTATATAACATTTTGCCTTGAGATCCTCGGAACTTCTCGGATCATTGTACAGCTATTGAAATCGTAATTGTAAAATCAAGAATATTAACTATAATATAATGTGGAAAGAATAATTAATACCTCCAATAATTTAGATAATAGATTTGCGATCGCAATTGCCTTTGCATGTTCGGGCGTATATTTGCCAATTTGTCCAATAGCCCAGACAGTCACTGCGAGAATATGATCGTCCGTTTCCTCTTGTAATACAATTGCTAATTGCGCGATGCCCTAAGTAACACGAATCTGTTATATACAATACGAAAATCATCTCCCGTTAAGCACAAAATAGCAATAATAACATTATATCAATATTACAATTTCTTATTTAATAATATAAATATAACATAAAAACTACATTGTGTACATAACAACTACATTGAATAGGAAATGATAATACTGGTATAAT